TATATATATACCCCCTGTTTTTCTTTAAGTTTTTGTATTGTTTCCTATTTTAAATATTAACGAGGAATAAAACGAAACTAAATTAAGTCGTAAAATAATAAAAGTTACTAAGAACTTGATGAAGAAAGCATTAAAAATAATTGTTTTTCAAACTTAAAATTGCTTTAAATAACGTTAATTAAAAATTATGATTACTTTAATAGTACTCAATAATTTTTTTCCTTGTTTGAAGAAGGCTTCTTAGTCGTTTACTCGAAATAAAAAGAGGAAAAAATTATATATCTCAAGTAATTATCTTTTATTTTTTTTTAATTTCTAGTAACCTTTGTGTATAAAGTTCTTAAAAGAATTCTTTTAATTTTTTTTTCTTTCCTAAGTGCCGGTTTAATTATTTTTCTCAGTAAAGAATTATAAAAATTTAAACCTCTGTAGATTTATTACATTGTTTTATTTTAATCCAGATATCCTCTAACTTTTTTTAATTTCCATTTTAATCAATTTAACGTGACCTAAACTAATGAAGACATACGTTTTGAACATAAAAATATTCATAAAAATCAATTTTTAATGGCAAAAAAAATTAATTTTGCTTAAAAGTCATCAATATTACATAATAGAGAGGAAGATACATTTATTTTTTTTATAATATAAAAAATATCAAAGGAAAAAAATGTCATATTGATAACTAATACGGTAAAGAAATGCTACAACTGTATACATGACTATCATCAAAGTATATGGAAAAGACGAATGGACTTTTTGAGACTTTAGATGAATAGATCTGTCAAAGAATTTAATCTTGACCTTAGCAACAAGCAGAATCCAAAAATTTTTCGTGAAAAGATTGAAAGCAGCTAAGCACCAAATCATCAAAGGAATGAAACTTGAAAGATTTCATCGTCCAAGTATGTGACATCTGTATTTATATCGGTAACTCTATACAATCTATCAACCTTTAGTATTTTATGTTTGAAAGTAAAGTATTCATTCGGATTGTTTGGACTTGAAGGCATCGTAGAAGACAGTCTACTTCAATTTTTGTCTTATTTATCGCTGAATCGACATTCAATATCCTAACAATTCTTAAATTTCGATTCTATGTTGTATTTTAAATTATATAAAAACTGTACAATTTTCTATTCCTTCTTTGTATATATATATATTTTAAATTAAATTAATTATAAATAAAAAATTAGATATAAATATAGGCCTATATTTTAAATTCAATTTTTTGATTTTGAATCTGGAAAAAAAATGATAATGATAATAATAATAAAAATAATAATGAGAGAAAAGTAGAAAACAAAATTTACTAGAAAATTTTATTTTAAACGAAAATCAATTGACGTGCCACTAAAGAAAATTTTTTAAATTAAATTTTTTTACAATAATATTTATAATAATAATTTTCTTTTTTTTTTAATATATGTTTTTATGATTTAATTTAAGTTTATAATATTAATTTATTATTGAATTTTAAACGTCGATAAATGCATTTTGTAGACATAATAACCATAAAGTGGGATGTATTCATCATAACGAATAGTGCTTTTGGCACATTTGTAAAGTTCAATTGGTCATCTCATTCCAACGCATCAAAAGACAAGGAATGAGTGTTTGAGTTAATGTAAACATCAACTTCAGCATTGTCATATCCATAATCACTTTAGTGGCTATGTGTTGAGTAACCAGCATCATCCCAACTACAAGCCTTTGTTAGTATTCAATATATAGATTTATATACAAACCAGTTATTTCTTTCCTTAACAAACCGATGATAATGACTTTTACATCGAAGGAAAAAAAGCTGTTAAAAAATTAATATTTAATTTTCTAATGATTTTTATTGTATGTACACACTGTAATGAATATTCTACAGAGAAAAAGCGTGTTAGAAATTTTCGCTATAATTATATTTAAAAAAAATACTTAATGATTAATTACTCCACTCGAAAAAATTCTTAATCAGTATATCAATAGGTTAATTACGCAGATTTGATATTAAAAATTAGATTGAAATAATTTAAAATAAAAGAAAAAAAGTAATTAAAATTGATAGAACTGATCGAATGTTAGGTTAAGCTGACAAATTTTTTAGCCTATCTTTCTTATTTTCCATGTTTTTTAATGATTAATTGAGAAATTTAACTCTCAACCATGCATCGTCTCTCTCATACTATCTTCGAAAACTTTTTAATATACATATACATATATATATAATTATTTAAATCTGGATAATTAATTTTTTACTAAGGAAAACTTTAATATATATATATATA